TTCCTTAACAATATGTGTTTTCTGTGGGTTAACGTCCCTACCCAGTTCTTCATTTCTTGTGGTCCCCATTGCCCGTGTTTCGTGAGTAATCACTCCGCCTAAAAGGAGCTGTGGTTCTGCCTGGACGCCCCTTCCCTCGAGTAATGTTGGTCTGTGACAGCTTTCTCTCCGTCTTTATCATCTCGCAACTGCCTAGCTGCGACTGTCGCGACTACAGAGTCCATTTGGCCTTCAATGCGCCCATCTCTGTTGCTGCGGCAGCCTCAACTACCACGCCTACAATCCCATTCTTCTCTAATTCACGTCAACTTTTCTCCACCGTCCAACCTACGCATACATCTCGTCCCCTCTGTCATCTCCTACCCAAACTGCCTACGTCAACTTCATGTCGACGACTCCAGTGTTATCGGGAGTGTCGATAAAACGTACAAGCGAGCGCCTTCATGTTAAATTAGAACACCTAAGGGTCTTGACACTCATCGTAGTTACCTAGATGGATGACAGGCTTAGTAGATTGACAAAGAGTGAGGTAAGTGATAAAATATTGGCATAGCAAGACATAGTATTGCACTAATTTTGTGATACCTACCAACGACAGCGTAAATACTGTAAGACACCTTGTTTCTGGCAACCACGTTGCACTTAAGTGTTTCCTGCAAAGTGGGCTAAATAGTCTACATCCAGTAACCTCCTTCTAAAGCTGCTGTCCATGCTCGATCTTAGTTGAATTTTAGTGTCACACATACGTGACACTGGTTTGATCAAGGCCAGATCTGCCAAATGGCGGGTTGCTAATAAAGCAGTCATGTAACGGACTAGAGGGTGAATAAAGAGTATCTACGAAAAATAAATACGGATTTTTATTAAGTTTCCTTGAAAATCACTCAATGTGTTTATTTTAGCCGATAACATTTACTATCTTATTTGAGAGCACAATTGTTCCGTAGTAAATCTATCTCTAATATGGCATTCCACAGCTTATTGGCAGGAGGAGAAGCTAGTGCAGACGCAGTGAAGGACTGTGAGGCTACAGACGTGCCTAAAGTGCCATGTCATTTGACAGAGACTGACGAGGTCTACTTTTGCTGTGAAAACTAAAAGTCTTTTTCCTAGACCTTCCTTCTGGCATTCACTGTTTGTGACTTTGTTGCATAGTTTGACTGTTCTCTGCCAGTGAAGATGTGGGACGCTAAGGCAAATCCTCTCTCTCAAAATTGGTGTGTGTCGGCCATCATCTTCACCATTTGCACCAGCCTGCTAGGCAAACACTGGTTCTAAGCCACAATCGCAGGTACCATCACAAAGGATATTTCACGTGCGCATGGCCAAGGAGCGGATCATGCCTACTTGGGAGTGCAAGCACAAATTTTGCGTTAGAAGATTTGTCTTAGCGTTTCACATCTTCACTGAAAGAGAACATTCGAAATATGTGACAACGTTACGAATGGGGGGACAAACAAGGGGGTGATAAGCAAGAGGAAACGCACTAGCTTTCTGCATTGAAGGATAAAATGGAGGTCCGAGTAAAAGCTCTTTCTTATTTTACTGCAAAAATAGACCTTGTCAATCTCTGTCAGATGACATGGCTCTTTAGCCACGTCCGTAGCCTCACGGTCCTTCATTGCGCCTTTGCTAGCCCCTCCTCCTCCTTACTGCGACTCTCGAGATACCATGGAATACTATATTAGCAACGGGTGTAACCAGGCCACATAAAAAGCCCCACTGCACCTTCTCCACTGCACCGACTTCACAGGCAAGATTTACTTATCATTTGTAAAAGGCTACATCTTTAAGGAGTTTACTGAAGAAGGGTCGAAATATCAACGCCCCTCGTGAGTTATGAGTGGCAACTGCTGATGCAAGAGGATCAAGTATCCACCATTCACAGACGATGCACAGGAGATACGTAATGCAGAATTTTGCCCAATCTCCACCATTCTCTCCCATTTGGGCTTTTGATTTTTGAATTACTTTAACGTGCATTGCAATGCTACCAGATTTGGCCAGTGGTTCTTAGCACATCCACTCATACTAGTGTGGTAAAAGCTAAATCTGCAAAAAGGACAAAATTTGCAAAACTCTTCCGAACTAATAGCTTTCTGTGCCTTTGTATGTCACTCTCACGAAGAACAATGGAGAATGCGATGTTGAGTAGGAGTGGAGTTGGGATAATAGGAAAGTTGGTTTATTAGCAACACAAATCATGACATGATTTGTGTCAAAAAGGCGTCTTTGCAATCTGTAGGTCACTAGGTGGTGGTGAATATACAACTGGAAAAGTTTGCTCGGCGAAGTTGACAGAATTTATCTCTCAGATAAGATACGCATTGTCACCAGTTGTTGTAAATAATTTAAGTGCTTTTTAAAGAAATTTTTAAAGGATGTTTTGTATAGTAAACACTTTTTGTCCTTCTGCCC